AAAATCTGGAAAAATTTTCAGAATTTTGCGACTTTATGTCCAGACTTTCATGACTATGTCTAAACCTGAACCTTCGCAGCCAAATTTATGTTCTTGACTTTAGCGATCCACTCTGCGCCTTTTGCAACACACGGCGCAAATTTGTGACCCAAAGCGCGACTTTTGCGACCCAAAGCGCAACTTTTGCTATCACAGCGAAACTTTTGCGACCCACACCGCAACTTTTTGCAAAATGCATCATTTTGAATTTCACATAGCGCGTGGGGAATGATATAACACAAATTTTTAATTATTTTTTTCATTTTCTTTTTAAAATTTCATCAATTGTTGAAGCTAACACTAACCATAGACGTTAAAAATTAGTCGGAATTTTCGGGATTTTGCTCTTATACGAGAAGAGTAGCCTTGCATCTATTTTTGATTCATACGCCTCTAGAAGGGATGACTTTTTAGTTGAACACTATTGCATAGACAGTCAATGACGGTCGAATTTCACGAGAGGGACTGATGCGAGCAGTCTTGTTTAGTTTCAGCCCAAATCATAATTGGGATTGCTTTCAGACACTCAGAAGGACTTGCCTTTGTATTGCATCAATGGTGAAACTAAAACTTCCTGACCTAAAGTTTTTGTAGATTTCAAACTTAGTTTTGTTTAAAATGTTAGATTTTTTTTTAGATGTTCCGCGCAGTGGGACGCAAATATCAGGTCACATCCACATCCAGGCACAAAATGTATAATTGTGCCGAATGTCTGAGTCTGAGAACTTTGAAGTCAAAGTCGCGCCTTGTGTCGCGATAATCTGAACACAGCAAAATGTGTGATAGCGAAAGTCTGGATACAAAGTGTGCCTGACTGAAAAAGTCGCCTGAACATACAGTCGTGAATTTCTGAGCATAAAGTCGCCAAAATCTGGAAAAATATTCAGAGTTTTGCGTCTTTATGTCCAGACTTTCATGATTATGTCTAAACCTGAACCTTTGCAGCCAAATTTATGTTCTTGACTTTAGCGATCCACTCTGCGCCTTTTGCAACACACGGCGCGAATTTGTGACCCAAAGCGCGACTTTTGCGACCCAAAGCGCAACTTTTGTTATCACAGCGAAATTTTTGCGACCCACACCGCAACTTTTTTCAAAAAGCATCATTTTGTATTTCACATAGCACGTGGGGAATGATATAACACAAATTTTTAAATATTTTTTTCATTTTCTTTTCAAAATTTCATCAATTGTTGAAGCTAACACTAACCATAGACGTTATAAATTAGTCTGAATTTTCAGGATTTTGCTCTTATACGAGAAGAGTAGCCTTGCATCTATTTTTGATTCATACGCCTCTAGAAGGGATGATTTTTTAGTTGAACACTATTGCATAGACAGTCACTGACGGTCGAATTTTACGAGAGAGACTGATGCGAGCAGTCTTGTTTAGTTTTAGCCCAAATCATAATTGGGATTGCTTTCAGACACTTAGAAGGACTTGCCTTTGTATTGCATCAATGGTGAAACTAAAACTTCCTGACCTAAAGTTTTTGTAGATTTCAAACTTAGCTTTGGTTAAGATGTTAGATTCTTTTTAGATGTTCCGCGCAGTTGGACGCAAATATCAGGCCGCATCCACATCCAGGCACAAAATGTATAATTGTGCCGAATGTCTGAGTCTGAGAACTTTGAAGTCAAAGTCGCGCCTTGTGTCGCGAAAATCTGAACACAGCAAAATGTGTGATAGCGAAAGTCTGGATACAAAGTGTGCCTGACTGAAAAAGTCACCTGAACATACAGTCGTGAATTTCTGAGCATAAAGTCGCCAAAATCTGGAAAAATATTCAGAGTTTTGCGACTTTATGTCCAGACTTTCATGACTATGTCTAAACCTGAACCTTCGCAGCCAAATTTATGTTCTTGACTCTAGCGATCCACTCTGCGCTTTTTGCAACACACGGCGCGAATTTGTGACCCAAAGCACGACTTTTGCGACCCAAAGCGCAACTTTTGCTATCACAGCGAAACTTTTGCGACCCACACCGCAACGTTTGCGACTCACAGAGCAATTTTTTCGACCCACAGCGCAGTTTTTGCGACCCAAAATGCAGTTTTTGTGACGCACAACGCAACTTTAGCGACCAACTGTGCACGTTTTGCAACACACAGCGCGAATTTTGCGATTCAAAGCACAACTTTTGCTACCCAAAGCGCAACTTTTGCGACCCACAGCGCAACTTTTGCGACCCACAAGGCAACTTTTGCGACCCAAAGCGCAACTTTTGCTACCCGCAGCGCAAATTTTGCGACCCACAGCGCAACTTTTGTGACCCACAGCGCAACTTTTGAGACCCACAGCGCAACTTTTGCTACCCACAGCGCAACTTTTGCGAGCCAAAGCGCAACTTTTGCTACCCGCAGCGCAAATTTTGCGACCCACAGCGCAACTTTTGCAACACACGTCGCAACTTTTGCAACACACGGCGCAACTTTTGCGACTCACAGTGCAACTTTTGCGAACCACAGCGCAACTTTTGCTTCCCAAAGCGCAACTTTTGCGACCCACAGCGCAACTTTTGCGAACCAAAGCGCAACTTTTGCGACCCACAGCGCATATTTGCGACGCACAGCTCAACTTTTGCGACCCAAAGCGCAACTTTTGCGACCCATAGCGCAACGTTTGCGACCCACCGCGCAACTTTAGCTACCCAAAACGCAACTTTTGCGACCCACAGCGCGACTTTTGCAACTTTATATCTAGACCTTCCAGCCTCAAGCTCTACGCATGACTATGCAATTTGAATCTGGATCAGACTGTGGTTGGACTTTCGAAAATAATATATTTTGCTCGACAGGCATTTTTCTTGGCAGAGCGCATCAATGCCAAAAGGGTTTTGGAAACATATCAAATAGTCCAACATGTTTTTGAGTTGGTTGATTTAAAATGGAAAATTGAACTATCGGATTCATTTTTGGAGAATGTGGAAACAATATCAAACAATTTTTCGAACAAGCTATTTTTTTCATCACGCTATCACTCTGGCATAACGCATAATTAGGAAGTTATCTTAGAAAAAATCAACTGTTTTAATTACTCCTATCAATTTACACAAAGATAAACTAAAGATTATACGAATATATAAATTGTCTTCAGTAAATAATTTCAGCATTCCGTTCATTAACAATTTAATCTCTCTTGAGGAGTAAGTTCAAATTTGTTTCAATCTTGAGAAAAATACGAATTCGAAGAAAGGAAGGAATCGCGGGCATCAGATCTAGAGGGAGACGATCATCTAGAGGCGAGGCTGATGTTGTAGCCTTGGCTTGATTTTTTCCCCAGATTCTCGTCCTAGTCAGAATTGGGTTATGAGAGTGGGGAAGGGGTCTCCATTTTTTTTTTCGTTTTATATACATGGCTTCATCTAGTCATGAATCTAAATCTGTATCTCATCTATCTGAACATATTATCCACTGGGGATACTTTGTCCTTGAGTGCCATGTCAGAGGGGGGGTTGAGGAAGAAGAAGGTCATATTGGAGCCGCTGATCTGGATTGCGAAGCCGCTGTTCCTCCCCATGTCCACAACTTCCATCAGAGATTTGTACGGCTGAAACAAGCAACAAAAATAATTGCTAACTTTAAGCTGTTTTCCTTCCATGGCTGCTTTTCATTCCATTATGATTGTTTTGCTCGTGGTGGGCTTGAAGTGGTTAGGGGGGGGGGGTTGGTATGTGAATTTATGAGCGATAGGATCAAATGGTTTTAGTTTTCGTTATGCAAATTCTGAACAAAATCCAGCAATTCCTTGATATTCTTTTGAGAAGTTTTCTTCTTAGCTGAATTTTACGCCAATCTGAATATTATTTTGTTGACGAGTTTAAATAAGAGAAATGATTTCTTGAATGGAGCCAGGAATGGTTAAAATGTTTTTTTTTCATCATTTTTTACCGATTGTTTACTTTCTTACATATACCAGCACCGTTAATTTTAAATATTTAAAAATGTTTTTAAATATACGAGCGCTAGTTCTAAGTCATCGATGTGTTTCTAATCCAACTTAATCCAAAATATGTACCGTGTTATCTTGTCCGGGGAGTTTGAACACTTCGGTTTCGTGGTCTCCCTCTCTGGTGATGTCAGTGTGTTCTATTCTATCATTGGACACCACATAGGAGAGACAGAATCCACTACATGTGTTGTTCGGTCGCAATAGATACGTGCCCAGCTGAAATTCAGAAGAAACTCAAAAATTATTTGACGTACAATCGATCAAAAACATCTTATGATCAGAAAAAATCAAGTTGACTAAAAATTCATCCAAAAAATAAAGTTTGACCAAAATCTCGCGCAAAAATATGACTTTCAACCGCATTTATAAGTTTTTTTTAAGAAAAAGAATATCAAATTGACCAAAATTTCAGAAAAACATCGATTTGATCGCTTTTTTGACAAAACTATCAAATTTATCGAAACTTTGAACAAACTTTGACAAAACTCTAAATTCAGACACATAATCAACATCATAACAAAACGAAGTTTGGAAAACAAAACCATTGAATTTTTAATCTGATCTGACCTCTAGAAAAACAAACTGTAAAGCAGGTTAATCAGAAGCAGTTTTCCGAAAGTTTTCGAAAATTTTGTCGACCTTGTTTCAAGGGTTGACCACCAAATTGATTTTCCAAAGCTCTCCTTAAATATTGCTAACGCCCTTTTGCCAATTTTTTGCACCGCAGACAAGGCTAAAAAGGGCCTTTCATGGAAACTTTTCCAAAATGCAATTAAATTGGATCTTTCTATCGATTCATCCCTCGCTTCCAGTTTTTGTTCCGACTTTCGATACGAAAGTAACGGAATATTTGTGCTCGGGGTGAGTTTTTTTTCTTCAGACAAATTTCGACTTTTTAACTAGCCATTTTTGACGGAATTTTTTAATATCATTCAAGAGGTTTTGTTGTCCTGAGCTTAAATTTGAAAAGATATTTCACCTGTGATCATTTTTTGTAAAGTTATGAGGGTTTAAACATTGCCATTTTGGCCATTTTGACCAATTTGGGACAATTAACGCGCGATATAATTCGCGCTATTAACGCGTAAGAGGAGATCTAGTCCGTCTTATAAATCGTTACAAATTGGTTGAACGAAGCTTATTTGCCATAATTGATTTGTTACAAGGAACGAAATCTATCTTTTTGTACTTTAAATGGCGTGTGGGGGGATTATTTTTATAAAAAAATTTCAAATTTTAGAAAAAAAAAATTCATTTTATTTTATTTCATTTAATTTTTTTGTTATTACTGCTGCTCCATAAACCTCAAAAGGCAGTCGGAACATTCAGGGCTTCGCCCTGATACGAGCAGTCTTGTTTTATGCTTTAAAAATTTATATTCTGTAACTTACCGGCCATGACTCATCTTCATAGGCTCTATATTAGAACAAGACTGCTCGTATCAGGCTGAAAGCCCTGAATGTTCCGACTGCCTTTTAAGGTTTATGGAGCAGTAATAACATTACAAAATTCGATAAAATAAAAAAAAATGAAAAACTTTTTTTTTCTAAAATTTTCTGAAATTTTCTGAAAATTTTTATGAAAATCATCACCCCACGCGCCATATAAAGTACAAAAGGATAGATTTCGCTCCTTGTAACAAACCAATTATGGCAAATAAGCTTCTTTTAACCAATTTGGACGGATTTCTAAGACGGATTAACTCTCCGCTTACGCGTTAATAGCGCGAAATATATCGCGCGTTAATGGTCCCAAATTGGCCAAAATTGCAATCTTTAAGCCCCCGTAACTTTACGAAAAATGATCACAGATGAAATATCTTTTCAAGTTTGAGCTCAGGACAATAATAGCTTTCGATAGATTTAAAAAAATTTCGTCAAAAATGGCTAGTTAAAAAGTCGAAATTTGTCTGAAGAAAAAAAAACCCACCCCGGGCACAAATATTCCGTTACTTTCGTATCGAAAGTCGGAACAATTATAATTCTTCATATCAAACAAACTGGTCATCTGATAGGAATCAGTCAATCTCAATTATAGCCTTGAAAATATATTTTTAACTATTTAGACTCAGAAATATAGTAAGACCAAGAGTAACATGAACCTATCTGGCCAAAAAAAGATATCGTGCCGTGCAGACGGTTTATCCGAACCAGAGCTACTTTACGAGAATTAGCTTGGACCAAAAACTGATGTTATAGGCGTGCTTCACATTTAAGGTTTAGGGATTCAGGGAGTCGAATCTCCGAGGGGATTATATCCATAAATTATAATGGCCGCTTTTGTTTTTCCAGAATTTTATGTTTCTTAATAATCTAAATTTTGCTTTCCTGCGAAAAACTTTTGTTCTTTGACAAAATGAATTGATGAAAAGTATTTAAAAATGGACAATAAGAGCTTTCTTTTTACTAAAATTGATTGCTATCATGATCAAAATGTTTTACGGCTCATATATGATTCGGTCAATATTTCAGCTCTAAGAAGCAAATAGAAACGAGATTTTTGCAAGAAGACAATGCGACGTCAAGCTGTAGGCACTAGGCGCTCAATACCAGTTTTGGCTAGCAAGCATAAATTTGCAATCCAGTGACAATGCTGATTTTAGAGACAAATGGTAGGACATTCTTGTTTTGATTTCAACAGATAAATGCGTTTTGGCAGTTGAAGCAAGTGGAAGCAAACTGTAAATGGATTCCACTGTTTGTCAGTGGATTCCACAATCGATATGTCCTTTTTCAGCATTTCATTTTATAGTTCATCAAAACTGCTCGTATCAGGGAGAAGTCTTGAAAGTTCCGACTGCCTTTTAAGGCCTATGGAGCAGTAGTAGCAAGAAAAAAATTAAATGTAATAAAAATAAATTGATTTTTTTTAAATTTTTTTTGAAAATTATCCCCACACACGCCATATTAAGTACAAAATGATAAATTTCGCTCTTAGTAACAAAATCAATTATGGCGAATAAGCTTCCTTCAACCAGTTTAGAACGATTTCTAAGACGGGTTATATCTCCGCTTACGCGTTAATAGTGCGAAATATATCGCGCGTCTATTGTCCCAAAATGGCCAAAATGGCAATCTCTAAAACCCCATAACTTAAATGAAATTGATCACATGTGAACTTAGGCTCAGGACAACAAAATTTTTTGAATTATAAAAAAATTCCGTCAAAATTGGCTAGTTGAAAAGTCGACATTTATCTGAAGAAAAAAAACCACCTCGAGCACAAATAATAAGAACAAAAGGAACAAACTGAACGCGCTATCCATGACAAACAATGGAAACCAGCGACAAAAGGAAAAAATGACCGCGGATTCCACTGAAAAAAATGTGGAATCCACCGACATGCAAAGGAATCTACTTCAAAAGCCAGAACACCAAAGTCCAATGACAAAAAAAATGTCGTTTGTTTGCGAAATTTACTGACGAAGTCTCTAAAACACGCAAAAGATGTGACTGTGGAACCAGAAGCGTGAAAGCACAAATAAGTGTCTACATAAAAACCCGAGTTTGGCGCCTTAATGCGTTTTGATTTCAAAACCTGCTTTGGGTGCGAACGAGATTACTGAGGTTTTTGAATAAGGATTTTTAGAAGCGGGTTTTTGAATAAAACTCGTCTTACAAAAATTGCGTTTTTGTACAACTTTTCAAGAGACTCTGTAAAGCTATGGGCAGTTAAAAAATGAGAACTGGAATCAAAAATAAACCTCGTATTTGATGAGGAGAGCATCTGCTTCTTCTTTGGTGATGCCTTTGTATGATCCCTCTTGCTTCAGTGCTATTAACTACACACAACAGATCATGCAAATTCACTTAATCAAAATAGACATGTTTACTATGATTCGGATAAATTACTTTTTTATCCATTTACAGCAACAATATTCTGCAGAGTAGGAAAAATTAAAAAAATTTCTTTTAATCTTAGTCACCCTTTATTAGAAAACAACGATTATTTTCGCGAGATTTGAAATCATGGCACCTGGAAAAATTATTCAGCTATATGACGGTTTTCGAAAATTTTTACGCGTCCATCGAGATCAAAAACGTTTCATGAAAATATCATGAAAGTTGAATACTATTGAAAAAATTCATCTCACATCCTGTGTGACTTGCCATGATGACTCATGTTCGAGCTGGAAGAGTTGTTGGGGAGGCAATTTCACGACACTCTCTTTCTTCAGAATGGTCTTTGAGAACGACTTTGATCTCTTCGCCATGCGGGCCGGGTCAGGGGGAGGGGGCGAAGACGATTTCTGCAACAAAATTGATAAACACCACATTGAGTTGAAAAAAAAACATTGCTTTGCTAAAGAAACTGAAACTCAGTCTGGGTTGAGGGTAAGTTATAGAACGCCATACCCCCTTTACACAGGGTTAACAGCCTTTGATAGACCCCCATATTAATCTACGAAATTTATTAATTTTACCGAGGCCGATGTCGTTTTATGTCAAGACTACGACTCGTAAACTTATTATTTCTAGACCGTTAAGTTCCGATAAACAAAACTGTTGACCTGACAGAAAAATTTTTTCAAAACATTATGGTGACTTTTTTGAAATGCAAGCAAACGGGCTTTATACGATACTGGAAAATATCAAGCGACCAATGATGTCATTTTAATTACTGAAAAACCAGGTCTTTTTCCTTTTCCCCTACCGCACATAAGTATCAATTTTCTGGCGTAGCGAGGGAGTTTTACAAGGTTAAATGTCACGGTCAAATACGTTTGTCATAGCCTAACATGTCAAATTTTGTAACAGTCGGACAATGAGAACAGAGAAATTACTAGTGAAAATTCGCTGGTGGGGGAAAGGAAAAAGAGCCAAAAAACATTCGCATAGCGATTTAAAAAATGTTTTCCCAATCTGAGAGCATTGTTCTACCCGCACCGAAGTTTCATGGGTAATAATCGATTATAATGGATTTTCGTTGACTAAAATGTTGTCAATATAATCGATTATCATGTCAAATTTAGACCACGTAATCGATTTTTAAATCCATTATAATCCTTTATAATCGATTACAATAATCCATGAAACTTCAGTGCGGGTAGTTACTAAATATCGTTGAAACTTTTCCCTTTTCTTGTAAATTAGTAAACTTTTTTGATCACCACACTTGATCGCTCATAGAACTTAACGCATTCAGTTGTTATGTGAAACATTCCGTACCGTTAAAATCCTTCAACCGTTAAAGCATAACTGTGTACCAGGGTTGGCCGGTAGGTTAAGTCCATCGCTTAGACCGCTAGGCTATAAACTAAAGCATGCTTTTTCATTTGGCAACTGGAAGATAGCCAGCATTTGTTCAAAAGGATCAGAAGATAGCCAGCGTTTGTTCATACACAAAAGGACCAATTGGTTAAAAGTTCTGCAGGGCTTGGAATTCAAACCACTTTTTGAGACTGATACAACAAAATCACTTTTTAGGTGTTTGAAACTCCGTTGTGGCGAAAACAAGATTTATTTTTCAATATTGAGGTAAAAAATCAACAATCAAAAAGTCCGCAATTTATTATTTGATTTTGTCGTTCGCACCGATGTTAAATCCGTGACCAAAAGTCCATAGTCTGGCAGGGTTTTATAGTCGCGGACATTTAGTCTACAAATACCGTACATCGGTTGCGATGTTCTGGAAATTAGTTGCTATAGTGTGAAACTTAGTCAGGACGTGGTCAAAAAAATAGTCGCATTTTCGTCTAAAAAATAATAGCGACATAGTCTAAGACTCCGTCGTTTTTCTTCCGTCGAGCTCAGCCAAAAACTTGTTGCCGGTCGAAATATTTTTCCTCTGTGAAACATATCGAAACATAGATATCTTGGGTCAAGATAGTTGAAAACTATCGAGCCTGGGTTGAATTGTTGTTTGCGCCGGGTCGCTGTTAATTTTCATGTACTGTCGTTTTTGAAACTTGTGGCTGAGATCTGATTATTTTCAAGCGTTTAGACCATTAGGTTAGGCGGTAGAATCCATTATTGAAGTTTTTCAGCTTCTGCTCGACTTTATCTCGATCGCGTTTTTACTGCTTTTTGCAGTCTCATCATAGTTGACTTTGCGGAAATTGTTCTTACTATAGCCTGAAATCTGTTAGGCTAGGATCCTTTTCATCCTATTGGGTCCAAAACCAGATTTAAGTTCTTTTCCAGTAAAGCTTATGAACCAAGTTAACATGCCTCCCCTCTCCCCCCCCCCCTCAAATCATTTTAGAGGGAAGGATGTTAAATTGGTTCTGAATTCAAAACTTCAGCCAATCGCATCAGAGCATTTTACATGCAGCGCTTAGCAAGTTTAGCTTAAATAGAACGCTGGGGTGGAGGGTCGTAACGGATATCTTTTACTATATCCCCCTCGGGAACCTAGTAACAAATATCACCTGTAAAGAAATAAATCAACGGTTAAGCATATCAGAATTTTATACCTAGCAGCGAATATCCCCCTTTTTTCAAAAATGGGGATATTGTTAAAGAGATCCACCTTAACTTGGTCTTTTGAGGAGGGAGGGGGGGTTGTGTTAACTTGATTTAGATTTCATTTGCATTACCAACAGCTTGCATAATGATGAGAAACCGTTTTATTACTAACTTTATCCGTTAAAAAGCTATTTCGAAGGTTTTCGAAACAATCGCATGATTAGTCAGTTTCCATACAAATCATGCATGGATGTGTATGGTTGCGCATTATCTTCTGTGGTGGGCAACCCGGGCCTAAATTCTTTCGTTTAGTTCTATCGCAGCAAAAATTGTTTCGCTGTTAGTTTAGGTGATTAAAAGTCAGTGGGGTAGACATTTTTGTACTTCTCAAGCTCATTGAGTTTGCGAGCTCCTATAAAAGCAAAAAAGCTCGTATATCGAAGCGAGGCCCTCATTAATCCGACTGCATAATCAGGCCAATTAAAAAGTTTTCTACATGAAAAATTGACGACATAATCGAAAAAAAAATTTAAGCTATGCAAGATGCCTTTATCGTCCTCTCATTGTTTTAAAAAGACTAAATTACTGGCCTCAATTCAGCTTAGATTGCATTCTTTTGCCGCTTACGCCTGTAATAAGACAGCTTTATATCGTGCGTTAATTATCCCAACTTGACCAAATTAGCAATTTTCAAAAAATTATCACAGGTGAACTATTTTTTTAATTTGAGCCCATGACAACCATATCCTCCAGATGGTTTGAAAACTCTGTCAAAAACTCGTAACTAAGAAATGGAAAATTGATTGAATAAAAAATCAACCCACGCTTAAATATTCTGCATTTTCTTCGAAAGTCGGAATATGGAACAAAAAGCAAAAAAATTGGTGATCGCTCCCCCAGAAATTTAATATATATTGGCGACGAACACATTTTTAGCAAAATAGGTCGACCAGAAGTAGATATCGTGACTTAGCACCAAAAGAGGGACTCTTTGAAAAATCTTGGCGACCAGAACTGAGGAGGTAGGGTCGTGTTTACCTCAACATGTTTCTCAACATGGACCGAAGAAATCTGGATTCAGACCATGGGTAAATAAATGTTCGAGCTCAATATCCCAGAGTGTTACAAGACGCATTTAATACTTCATAATTAACAATGTGTTTTGGGAGAACGTGCACTGGTCCGGGTTTCTTATTTGCTTAATTCATTCACAAAAGAAACGTTTTTTAAGAACGATATTCTCATTTTATTCCATACCTACACAAGTTTTAGAAATTTTGCACAATTATTACATACGTTTTTTTTCTAGCATGAGGTGTTTTTTATAAGAATTTCCTATTTCTGTTTTGTTGTTTTTGTAATGTTCGATGCTTTCCAAAAATTCTGAAAATAAACAACAGAAAAAAAGAAAAATTTTCAACGGAATGCTGCACAGTAAGTTTCCTACAAGACAAGCGAGAAGTGCAAAAATTCATAAATTTTACAGCTCTTGAAAGCCAATTTCATGATTTTAGAAAAAAAATCAAAGCAGATAACATAGAGTAACAAATTGAAAAAAAATCTTTGTGACAGTAACCGTAAGTTTTTTACGCTAATTAAACTAAATATAAAAGAACATTGGGAAAAAATACAAACTCAGAAAGAGTTCTCGAATTGCATGAAATTTACACCATCAGTAAGTTTTGAAAAAGAGATATGAAAGCTAGATCTTGCAAAAATCTTGTAATAATCTTGCAATATTTTCCACTCCGAGATGCAAATCAGAAAAATCCAATTTTGTTATTCAAGATTAGAATTCGTTTACACAAATTAGCTTATCAAACAGGCTGCTGTTGTTTCTATTAGACTATGAGTAGATTGATCCAAGCAGCCAGGGTTTTACGGTTAAAGTAATTATCAAATTTTTGCTTGACTTTGCGAATTGCAACTCCACTTCTGTTTAAAAATAAAAGGGCGTAGTGACTTGCATGCGTGCCTTTTAACATGCACAATTTAACTTAGAAAACCCACTTTGAAGCGGTATGCATCATTTTGAGTCTTAGTTCCATATGTGAACTAACTCAACTCTAATTGTGCGAATAGCCGCATGCAAGATGGCACGCATACAAGTAAGTCCCATTAGTTTATGCAAAGTTGTTGGTGATGTCGTTGACATAATCATTCAAATAGATACGCTTCATTTTAATTTTAGATCAATTTTTTTGCTCTAATTTTACGTTCTCAGATAAAATTGATGATGCATGTTTTTTCCGAAATTTTTCCGAAAATAATTTGTTTTTTAATAAAAGATAAGAAGAAAAAACTGGAACTAAAAAGAGCAATCTGCCAATTTTGATCAATTTCTGGTGTACGTTTGAAAGTTTAAATTACTTTGAGTTACACTTTTTGTCCAAAAAATTAGCTTACGAATGCAAATTTTTTAAAAGAAATTGGTCATCTTCTATTTTTAATCATCTCTGAATGTTCCAACTTTGGCCGTTTTCGAAAAACCAATCGTTCTTGTGTAAAAAAATGCCTGCATTCTATCGGGCTGTTTTCATTGATTTCTTAATGTGTTAGACAATGAAAACTGACCGTTTTGCAAGAAAGACAGCTCCACCTCCAGAAGGCTAACTTTCTCAATCCAGATCTTCTTCTAGTCTGAAACAAATTGCCTCATTCTCAAATACAAATGTTTTATATTGTAAAAAGCAGTGATTAATTGTAGCCTTTGATTTATCTCGACTCACCAAGACATAAAACATGACGACCGTCAAAGTTTCTAAATATCGGATACCTACTCATTTTATGTAATGATCTGTTATCAATGATCCCCAGTAACATTAATTGACCTCGAAATAACCGCAAATTTAAGTTTAGCAGTCTTATTTGATCTCGCTCTTATTGGTTCCCGGGTTTTATATTTGTTCTCGTTCAAGTTTTTGCCCCAATTTTGGTAAAAGACCTGATTTTTCTGCTCAAATTAAATCACAATATTTTAAGTCTGTCCTCTTTGCAAAATGGTATACATTTCTTGATAAAGGTTCGAATTTTAATTAACAGTTGGAATATCGTTCCCTCTTACGACGGAAATGATATAATATTTGTTCTCGACTAATACTTTTTTCACACATTTTCGACTTTTAACTAGCCTTTTTTTTAAATATATCTAAAAGTAGCAATGTCGCACACTCAATTTTTATACTTATGATTCTTTTTTGTTCAGACTTTTTTAACAAAAGTAACGGAATATTTGTGCTCGGGTAGGTTTTTCTTCAGACAAATTTAGACTTTTTAACTATTCATTTTTGACGGGATTTTCAAAAATCATTCGAAAGGTTTTGTTGTTTTGAGCTTAAATTTGAAAAAAAAAATTTCACCTGTGATCATTTTTTGTAAACTATGGGGGTTTAAGATTGCCATTTTTGCCAATTTGGGACAACTGAACGCGTTAGCAGAGATCTAATATGTCTTAGAAGTTGTTCCAAATTGATTAACAGACGCTTATTTGCCTTAATTTATTTGTTAAAAGGAATTAAATTTATCCTTTTGTACTTTATATGGTGTGTGGGTGGATGAGATGTGGGTATGATGTGTTCGTGGAAAGAAACAGTCTTGTTTAGAGTATATGAGGGCTTGAAAATTGCTCCTTTGGTCGAGTTGTGATCATTAACAAGCAATACATTTCGTGTAATTGTTCCGACTTTCGATAAGAAAGTAACGGAATATTTGTGCTCGGGGTGGGTTTTTTTTCTTCAGACAAAATTCGACTTTTTAACTAGCCATTTTTGACAAACTTTATATTGTTCGAAAGGTATTGTTGTCTTGAGCTTGAAATTGAAGTAAGTTTTACCTGTGATCATGTTTCGTAAAATTAGGGGGTTTAATGATTGGCTTTTTGGCCAATTTGGCTCAATTAACGCGCGATATGTTTCGCGCTTTTAACATGTAAGCGGAGATCCAATTATTACGTTCTAGAAAACGTTCCAAATTGGTTGAAATAAGCTTATTTGCCATGATTGATTGTTATAGCAGCGAAATTTTTTCTTTTGTACTTTATATGGCGTGCGGGGATGATTTTCATTAAAAAGTTCAATTTTTCTATGTTATTACTGTTCCATAAATCTTAAAAGGCATTCGGAACATTCAGGGCTTCGCGTTGATACGAGCAGTCTTGTTAGAACTTAAGTGGCAAATAAATCGAGCGAAGGAACAATTTCAAGTTGAATGGATCAAAATAAGGTTGTTTTTATACGTAATCTCTGACATGGAAGGAAATTACTACTATGATTACTTAAGATTGCTCGTATCAGGACGAAAGTAACACAGTATTTGTGCTCGGTGCTGTTTTTATCTCGCCACTTTTTGAGCTAGCCACTTTTGATAAAATTTTTTTACAGTCTGCAAAAAATTGATTTTTTGAAGTCAAAAATTGATCTTCTATCTTTTTTTAAGTAAATTTTTAGAAAATTTGAAAGAAAATTCTGAAAAAGATATCAAAGGTTTTTACAATTTTGTTTTGCAGACACCTTAAGTGACAAACGCAGCGTTCAAGCCGAAAAGCGTTAAGCGTTTTGTCATGATAGGAGTAGTCTTGTCGCTTCGACTTTTGAAGAAAGTAGCAGAATGTTTGTGCTCGTTTAGTGTTTCCGCTGAAAAATTCGGAAGTCTGAAAAGGCTGCTCGTATATTAGGGCAAAGCTCTAAGTGTTCTGACTGCCTCATAATCCATATCGATTAAATTGTTGGGAAAAAATATAAAAAAACTAAAATTTTTGAACAATATCAAAGATCAAGTGTGAAAATTTGAGGCGTTCAAAATTAATGCGACCGATTAGCTAGCCTCAATTCAATCAATTTGGAACGATTTTGTTTTGCGTGATAAGTCGCCACGCATAAATGATTCGCGCTACGCTTTCAGGCTTCTGCATAAAATATTCAATGTGCGCTTAAAATAGTCCAGAGCATGGCCGAATTGGCAATGTTCAAACTTCTAATTTTTTGCAAAAAAGATCGGAAGTAAATTTCTTTTTGTAATTGACTTCAGGAGAAGAATATCTTCAATCCGACAAATATTTTTTTGAAAACTACTATTTCGATTGCGGAAAATGGACTGAATACAAAAAAATAACACGCTTAAACATTCCGTTTTCTTCGAAAGTCGGAACGACTAACCATTTTTGGCGGATTCTTTTACACTATGAAAGAGGTTCATGTTCAAAGCTTGAAACAAAATCTCTGCGCAAATTTCAGCAGCGACATTATTCTACAGTTAAGTATTCGAAATTGACCAAATTAGCAATTTTCAATCCCCATAACCCTATAAAACATTGGTCACCATAACATCAATCTAATAACAAGCAAGATCTAGAATTTAGGCCGGTTTTGAGAAGAAATCAGCTTTTATGCAACTAGTAGCGTTTTCCAGTAAACGGAAACCTAACAGTTATTTTGTAAGGTGCAACAAAAACTGGCTCCCTACTTCTGGCATCGTCAGTTTCAACGTCTCCGTTCTCTGATCGGCTGGCGATCCGTCCCACCTTGACTCTGGTTCGGGTAACATGAATCCAACAGGGGAAGCGGGGGCACTACTCGCTGGCGTTTTTTTGGTAGATCGAAGGATCCCATTTTCGGGTGCGGGTTGAAGTGATACTGGTGATTTTGGTGATGGCGAGGGTTTCTGGGATATCGAGGGTTTGGGTGGTGTCGCGGGCTTAGGAGATGACAGAGGTTTAGTTGACAACTGCGGCGGATGCTGCTTGTTAATTTCCTCGTTCTTGCGGAAAATTGGGTTGTTTTGGATATCCGATAACGGGGGAGGAGGCTGTTTACAACTCTCCCCTTTCTTCCGGAAAATTGGGTTATTCTGGATATCCGAAATGAGTAAACCCTGTGAAGGTATTGGACTACTATGGCCGCTTTGGATAACAGCGGGTTCTTTAGTACGACTACCAGGCATTTCAGACGTTAAATTAGCCGTACATACTGGTATGATTTCTTTCTGATAACAACTGTTTGTCGAAGAAGTCTTGTTAGAATTAGCAAAGTAGTTTATCTCTACATAGCTTTCAATATTGTTGCAGTTATGTGCAGTGTAATATGTCGGAGAGGGGCAATCATCAGGGTCTTGGCTGGAATTGGCGGGTTTAATGATTGGCTTTTTGACAATTTGGCTCAATTAACGCGCGATATGTTTCGCGCTTTTAACATGTAAGCGGAGATCCAATTATTACGTTCTAGAAAACGTTCCAAATTGGTTGAAATAAACTTATTTGCCATGATTGATTGTTATAGCAGCGAAATTTTTTCTTTTGTACTTTATATGGCGTGCGGGGATGATTTTCATTAAAAAGTTCAATTTTTCTATGTTATTACTGTTCCATAAATCTTAAAAGGCATTCGGAACATTCAGGGCTTCGCGTTGATACGAGCAGTCTTGTTAGAACTTAAGTGGCAAATAAATCGAGCGAACGAACAATTTCAAGTTGAATGGATCAAAATAAGGTTGTTTTTATACGTAATCTCTGACATGGAAGGAAATTACTACTATGATTACTTAAGATTGCTCGTATCAGGACGAAAGTAACACAGTATTTGTGCTCGGTGCTGTTTTTATCTCGCCACTTTTTGAGCTAGCCACTTTTGATAAAATTTTTTTACAGTCTGCAAAAAATTGATTTTTTGAAGTCAAAAATTGATCTTCTATCTTTTTTTAAGTAAATTTTTAGAAAATTTGAAAGAAAATTCTGAAAAAGATATCAAAGGTTTTTACAATTTTGTTTTCCAGACACCTTAAGTGACAAACGCAGCGTTCAAGCCGAAAAGCGTTAAGCGTTTTGTCATGATAGGAGTAGTCTTGTCGCTTCGACTTTTGAAGAAAGTAGCAGAATATTTGTGCTCGTTTGGTGTTTCCGCTGAAAAATTCGGAAGTCTGAAAAGGCTGCTCGTATATTAGGGCAAAGCCCTAAGTGTTCTGACTGCCTCATAATCCATATCGATTAAATTGTTGGGAAAAAATATAAAAAAAAAACTAAAATTTTTGAACAATATCAAAGATCAAGTGTGAAAATTTGAGGCGTTCAAAATTAATGCGACCGATTAGCTAGCCTCAATTCAATCAATTTGGAACGATTTTGTTTTGCGTGATAATTCGCCACGCATGAATGATTCGCGCTACGCTCTCAGGCTTCTGCATAAAATATTCAATGTGCGCTTAAAATAGTCCAGAGCATGGCCGAATTGGCAATGTTCAAACTTCTAATTTTTTGCAAAAAAGATCGGAAGTAAATTTCTTTTTGTAATTGACTTCAGGAGAAGAATATCTTCAATCCGACAAATATTTTTTTGAAAACTATTATTTCGATTGCGGAAAATGGACTGAATACAAAAAAATAACACGCTTAAACATTCCGTTTTCTTCGAAAGTCGGAACGACTAACCATTTTTGGCGGATTCTTTTACACTATGAAAGAGGTTCATGTTCAAAGCTTGAAACAAAATCTCTGCGCAAATTTCAGCAGCGACATTATTCTACAGTTAAGTATTCGAAATTGACCAAATTAGCAATTTTCAATCCCCATAACCCTATAAAACATTGGTCACCATAACATCAATCTAATAACAAGCAAGATCTAGAATTTAGGCCGGTTTTGGGAAGAAATCAGCTTTTATGCAACTAGTAGCGTTTTCCAGTAAACGGAAACCTAACAGTTATTTTGTAAGGTGCAACAAAAACTGGCTCCCTACTTCTGGCATCGTCAGTTTCAACGTCTCCGTTCTCTGATCGGCTGGCGATCCGTCCCACCTTGACTCTGGTTCGGGTAACATGAATCCAACAGGGGAAGCGGGGGCACAACTCGCTGGCGTTTTTTTGGTAGATCGAAGGATCCCATTTTCGGGTGCGGGTTGAAGTGATACTGGTGATTTTTGTGATGGCGAGGTTTTCGGGGATATCGAGGGTTTGGGTGGTGTCGCGGGCTTAGGAGATGACAGAGGTTTAGTTGACAACGGCGGCGGATGCTGCTTGTTAATTTCCTTGTTCTTGCGGAAAATTGGGTTGTTTTGGATATCCGATAATGGGGGAGGAGGCTGTTTACAACTCTCCCCTTTCTTCCGGAAAATTGGGTTATTCTGGATATCCGAAATGAGCAAACCCTGTGAAGGTATTGGACTACTATGGCCGCTTTGGATAACAGCGGGTTCTTTAGTACGACTACCAGGCATTTCAGACGTTAAATTAGCCGTACATACTGGTATGATTTCTTTCTGATAACAACTGTTTGTCGAAGAAGTCTTGTTAGAATTAGCAAAATAGTTTATCTCTATATAGCTTTCAATATTGTTGCAGTTATGTGCAGTGTAATATGTCGGAGAGGGGCAATCATCAGGGTCTTGGCCGGAATAGTAATATGATGAATACGAGGCCATGGCCACATATGATAAGCTCTCTTATGCCGCTCTCAAAACTCTCATCTTAACGAAAGCTCAAATCAAACATCGCAAACATGGGATTAAAACAGGACAACAACGTATAAAGTTGACATTTACAATGTTTTCTACGTATTTGACAAGAAGTTTCTGATGGTTTTGAAGGTTCAATATAATTTAGGATACACATATGCACTTGACTTCTGTTGTTTATGCCTAAATGGTTAAGTTGTTGTTTAATCCCTTGGTAAATTTGTCCAAATGTAGAATTTATCAGAAAACAAACAAACGAACAGACAGTTTGTTATATTAGATCTGAAGTGAATTCAAGATTCTGAAGTCACGTCAACTGAATTCGAATATTTCGTAAACATCCAAAATCCAAATGATGATGATTTTCATGATGCTTGCAATGCGATGTTATCAAACACGGGTTTCAAAGAGAGAAGTTTTGTTTGCTCTGTGCCCAGGCAAAACTGAGAGAAACAACTTGGGTTCAGCATGAAATTTTTCATCGAACTGAAACTCCGGCCAAACAGATAATAAAGGGGGGTCTCCGAGCAAAAAAAATCATTGACATGACATTTAAGAGAACTCCCAACAATGTTTTTGTTTGTTTTGGACAATTATGACGATACAGCTATAATGATACAAATAAGATACAACTACACAGATAAGTTTCCAGACATAATTCTTCGTGACTTCGATATCTTATTCTCGAACTTAAGCTGATCGGACCTGATCGCTTTATCAGCTTTTTTTGAACTGTTGGCACAAAAACGCAAAGCTAAAGGCTTTGCCAGCCCGTAGTCCCAGCCTAGCATCCCGAAAATAAGGGCAATTGTCCTGGGATTAAATTGCTAAGGCACGAGTCAGGTTCTTGCGTTTAGTTACGTTTCCGAGAGTCTGCAAGGAAACCTCTTTCCAAAAAAAGCTGACAAAAGTTTCAGTAGGAGTAAAATTGGAATTTAATAATACGAAAGAATAAACAAAAGTGAAGCAAAATTTACAATGGCTCAACACAAACTAGATAACGCTCTGAAAAACTACAGATCAGTTTTGTCTTCGTAAACGGACATTATGTTTTGTACTCTTTCATTTAATACTCGATACTTTTTCTTTTTTGTGAACTTGTGGCCACTCGATGCATCAAACAATTTGAGTTTTTGTACGGAAGCGTCTTTTTGCAGGCTGCCAACTACTTTCCACATATTTGGGTGGGTTCCGCTGAAATATGATTGAATCCCGAAATGCCATCCCTCGACAGCATTTGTTGTTCGAGCAATCCCACTCACAGCAGCATCTCGCTGGTTCCAAAGGGAGGGTGGGAATGAAACTTCACGGTTTGGCACCAAGCTTTTTATATAAGTAGAGCCGAAGTACAGACACACTTCGTCGTTAAATTGTAGGACACCAAAATTTGCATTTGGGTGTGTTCTAGTTTTTTTGGTTCTGTTACTTACAAGCCAAATCAGAAACAACAAATAGTCATCAGAATGGATTGAATGATAAACCATCATGAAGCCTTTCTGTCGCGATTCGAACGACCTTTGAAAACTATCGGAAGAACGTAAAACTGTTGATAAACACTGGTTGGAAATTTTTGAGAATCAGTCTTCTTGCGAGCAAGTACCGCAATCGAGTAACACTCGTTAGAATAAAAAATTGGTTATGAAGAAAACTAATTTTTGATATTTCATACAGCGCTTATTCGGATCGAAACCTTTCTAAATAAGAATTTTTTTCATATTTTTTTTCATATTCATATTTGTTAATCATTTTTTGATACAAATGTTGTCGATTATGAACGCAGGATACTTGTTTGCTGTCGGTATCGCTTTATACTTAGCTTATGAGCTTATGAGAGAAATTTCTCTAGCATCGATTAAAAATTTTTAAACAATTTCCTTAATAGAAATAAACTATACTTAAGGATAGATGGTTGAATGTGCACAGAATGTTTCCGCCGTGTTCATTAAATCAACGGAAAAAGAATTTTTTCTCGAAATTGGTCGGTACATTCTGTGCTACTTGAACACGCAACCGTCTATCCTTTTTATAATTTGTCGATTACTCATTTTTCTGAGTAGAGTTGTTTGAAACTGCAACTCGAAACTGGAGTATGTCTCTCCTAAAGCTAAGTAAAGCGAGACCGATAGAAAACAAGTATCTTGAAGGGTAACTGAAAAACACATTAAAAATTGAGTGAAAAATACGAGAAATTGTTGAAGGAAAACAGGAGTGAGAGTTATGAGAGTTATCAAGCTGAATCTCTTGAAATTGATTCTGGGCCACCAGGTTATGGTGTTGAAGTCTTTTAGTATTTATTTTTAAAGATGCGAGCTTTTGTTTTCTTCAGACTCAAAAATATTCGAAGTTAAGTTTATGAGTACAGAAATTGGATTTGATGAATGCTTTTTCATTATCTTGTATGATAAGACCGGGATTCTATTTCAAGTGAAAACAATCATCTTTTCTGCTTTTTTTCTCATCAATACGCACTCAAGTTCTCAGGCTAAAAATCAAAAATTTAGAAGTTTTATCGTCAGTGCTCACAAATTTTAACAAGGAAAGCCGGTTACTGTGCATGAAGCACAGAATGTTCCGACCACAGTCATAAAAAATACA